ATAAAATATAAAATATAAAATATAAAATATAAAATATAAAATATAAAATATAAAATGTAAAATATAAACATAAAACATCAAATATAAAATTATATTCGAATTATTCATAATAAAATTGTGCCAAAAATACTTATTAAAAAATGTAATATAAATATGAAAAGCTTCTATAAATAATTTGCATTAATATGTAATCAAGTTGAATAAAAATATAATTAGTAATAATACTTCATAAAAATATAAAGTTATTCTATACAAATTTACAATATTTAAACCAAACGCAATGCCATGTAATCAACCTACTTAACTCATTCCCAGCTATATATTTTTAAGCCAAGCTAGAGTATCCTTTCGGCTTTGCTCCGAGCAATACTCCAGGAATATCCCCATTGCAAATTGCTGATAATTAAGCGGCCATAAATTAACGCTTATCAAAACATTGACAGAACAAAATTAGCAACTCTACCCCATATAAATTGCAAGTGTGAGCATATCAGCTGCGCCAATGGGATAATCATTGGGCTTCATCATCATCGTTATCATCATCAGCTGCAATGTTGCTAATAAGGCAAGATGGGGCGTCGTTGCTTTAAAGCTGTTGCCAAAATACACAAACAACTGCAAGTCATTTGCACCCCAGCCACGCCCCAAAAAAGTGACGCCAAATGAGTGAGGACTGCCATGGGGATATGAAGCTGACCGTTGGCAATGGCCATGAGGTGTGCTGGCAACCGCATGAGTTGCATTTTGGCCAAGTCAGTCAGAGGCAAAGCCCCCCAATGAGTGGCACTGATTAAATGCCACGTGCACAGATGCTACACAGCCCAAAGAGGGGAGGGGAGGCATTAGAGAAGGGGTAGGCGTCTAGTGCCGCATGAGTTCCGTCCAAGTGGTCAACCACTGTCGACGCACAACTTGGCTAATTTGTCAGAAAATTTTACGGTACGCGCATTTAATGCAATATGCAAACTTTGCCGATAGAAAATTGTTTGCCATTGATTTATGTGCAGCAGGTGGCACCACCAGCCACCCCCTTTGTGCGCACCCATGCACATTCACAATAGAATTTATTCACAATTCACAGCTCACATTCTTTGTTTGCATTTGCATTAGAGAGCATTGAAATGCTTCAAGTCTTGTGATTTGTTGCTCCCTCTCCCTCTCTCTCTCTCCCTCTCTCTCTTTTTCTCTCATTTGGTTTGGAGGGTTGCGGATTTGCATAATGCGCTTGTTCCTCTTGTTTGCTCTTGTTTTAACACTTGAATTATTGGCATTTGACACTGAGTCGAAGATTGTTGTAAAACGACAAGCAGCTGTGACGACAATGGAGACAACAACAACAACAATAACAACAGCTACAACAATAATAATAGCTTAATTACAACAACACGATAACGAGTGGCGTACAGCCAATTGTCCACATACAATTGCCAATTTCGTTTAACTTGGTCATAAAACACAGCACAGACAACAACAAGAGCAACAACAACAACAATAAGAACATACATAGCTCAACACAACAAATAAATCTCAATTTGTGATCGGGCCACAAAACAAGAAAATGCCTCAAAATGAAACCAGAAAACGCTTAGCAATTGGCAATTTTCTCGAACTAACTGTTTATGGCCGCAACACGAAGCATTTCGATTCTCCCCACTCCAACTCAGAGCCCACTTCAGACTTTCCAGTGAGGCCGAGCAGGAGACGTCTTTGGTTATTAGAAGCTAAATCTTCTTTAGACTTTTCCACACTCGATGCTGCTATAAATAAGGTAAAGTGTTATTTTTCTCAGTTTGAAACACATTTCAAGCTAAGAGGCTCTCATTTGAAAGGTATTTGTGCCAATATTAGATAATAGTGAAATCCGTCTGAGATGTCAGCTTGTATTTTCTGGTATTAATATTATAATTGCATAAATTTAATGTCATTATAACATTGGAATGCTACTACATTTTTGAGCATTTTTTTTTTAGAAATCTTCCTTTCTCTTTGTAAGTTATGTTAAACGCAAACGATATGAATTAATTATTTGAAAGTCTCATTCGGAAAATATTTCATAATTATTAATAAATATATCACAATTGACATTGCCATATTATTTCCGTATAGAAAACACGTTTCTATAATCTTGCTTAGGTTAAAGCGTAGTTTAAGCAATTAGTTCCTTACAAGTTGAATATGTATGCAATAAATATTGTACAATATTTTTACTCTGATCATATTTAAAAGCACTTCTACCATATTTTACCTCAAACAATATATATTTTTATTGATGTGGTTTCCTCGATTAAGCACGTCAGTAGAGTTTAATTTAATTTAATAATTCATTTGGAATATTTTAAAATATTTAATAACATTCAAAAATATTTAAAAATATTTAAAAACATTTAATAATATTTAATAATCTTTAATAATATTTAAGATTTAATAATTATAACTTATTTATGGCTAATTGAATTTTTTTATGTTTATTTTATTTGTATTTCAATTTAAACACAGCTAAATCCGTAAAATGCTTAGTATTTTAAATAAATATATATATATATATATTTATATATATATATATATATATATATATATATATAT